TGCAATTCGCCAGTATAGGGTGGCTGCACTTATTAAATTCCAAACCACAAAGAGATTAATTTCTTGTGTGATGTGAAATTTTTTATGCTTATAGTACAGTACATTTAGTTTTTTTTTTTTTTTTTGAACTTTTTTAACATGGGGCGGATTGAAAACCCGTTCAAGAGAAGAGAAAATGCATTTTTTAATAACTAGTATCATTAGGACTAAAAAACAAGTGCAGTACAGTATATTTAGTTTGAAAAGAAAAAGAACAAAGAATATTTGTTTAGTTATTGAAAAATATGGGCAAAATACCCAAATCCACCCCCGAAGTATGGTGATAAGGACGGATCCACCTTCGAACAAAAAATGAGGACAAATCCACCCACAAAGTTTTCGACTTGGACAAATCACCCCAAATTTAACGTGTGACGTCATTAGACATCAGCAATTCGTTAATTCGTTAACGGATTGCTGACGTCAGATGACGTCAAATTAACAGATTGCTGATGTCAAATGACGTCACACGTTAAATTTGGGGTGATTTGTCCAAGTCGAAAATTTTGTGGGTGGATTTGTCTCATTTTTTGTTCGAGGGTGGATCCGTTCCTACCACTATACTTTGGGGGTAGATTTGGGTATTCTGCCAAAAATATGAGTGGAAGAGAGAAAAATAATAGGATATGACCTCCTTTCATTCATCTCATCTCTTTTTTCTTTTTAGAATTTTTTCAAACTAATCATACTACCATCATTAGTTTCAAAAAAAATCATACTACTATCATTATATTTAATAATATATCTTGAGAAAAGAATAAGAAAGGCATTTCCAACATATTGGCATTTCTATTTAATTATTTAGAAGCGAAATAACTACCCTCTTTCTTTAACAGGCAATTACAAAAAAAGTTTATTGTACTTTACAAATTAAAGCTCTTTCTAATATTAAGTGCTAACCTCATCCATTAGTTTTAATCTTGCTGTTTAGTATGCTACTTACTGCAAAATAAGAGTCTGGAAGCAATTATTACACTACTATTTGAGTATTTGTTTTCGGAATTGGATTGGTGGTAGGAGAGTAATGACCGTGAGACTTGAACTCATGCTCAATAGCGGGTAAAAGTCTACATTTAATTTCTCACTTTATTAAATTTAAAAATTTTAATCTTTATTTTATATTATGACATTTTTAATTCTTTATTTTATTAAATTTATAAGTTTTAATCATTTATCTTATATTATGATACTTTTAATCCCTCAGCTATTAAAATTGAAAAAAATAGTCTTCACTTTATAGTATTTTATTAGTTTTGTTAGCTGATTGTTAACTCTATTAACTAATTATTAATTTACAAAAATCTTCTTTCAGCTAACAGAATTAACAGAACTAACTTTATAATATTTCGTTAATTTTGTTAACTAACTATTAATTAACTGTTAGTTGATAAAAACTTATTTTCAGTTAACAGAGTTAACAGTTAATATAAAATAAGGACTATTTTTTTCGATTTTAATAGATAAGGGGTTAAAACCTATAAATATAATAAAATTGGGGTTAAAAATATTATAAAATAAGGTAAGAGATTAAAAGCTTCAAATTTAATAAGTTAAAGGGCTCAAATAGATTTTTGCCCCAACAGTGATCCCCACTAGGGGCAGTGGCTGAGCCACTGAACCTTTTACGTGGGAATCTTCAAGTCCACTGGTACTCCACAAAGCAGCAAATGTAATCTACCCTTCGCAGCAGGACAAAAAGAAAAAAAAAATTGCAATCCATCCTTTCCAACAAAAATGCAACTTACCCGTATAAAGAATCTCGTGTTGTGACTGGGTCAACTAAATACCAGTGCTCCTTGAAGACTTTTCCGGTAACATAATCACATTATCAGTATTACCGTTCCACTAACCAACAGATATCCCAAAGAAATTTTTACCAAATATCCCTTAGAAATCCTTCTCTCATAGGAAACAGATTATTTATACGCCTCCAAATTCCGATCAAACATAAATATCTACTCCTCTCTCCCACTCTCAGTGGGTTCTATTTGCCCCTTGAACCTCTAGGTCATTGAAATCTCTATTGGGTATTTAAAGTTTCAATCTTTTACGCATAATTTTTCTGGGGTTTCTTACTGTGGTACTTTTGCTGGATTGCATTGATGATGATTCTCAGGGTTGTTGATCACAAAAACTATTGGGTATTCAAATTTTCAATCTTTTGTTCATAATTTTTCTGGGTTTTCTTTCTCTGTTACTTTTTTCTGGACTGCATTGATGATCGTCAGGGTCGTTAATCACAAAGAACCATTATGTGTGGTTTTCTTAATCTGTTAATTCATTCTAGTTTACCTCATTCAGTTTCAAGTTTTTTTTTTTCTTTAATCGGCGCTACACTTGGTGAAGTAAGTTGTTTGGTTTTCACAATCAGAAAGTGCTTTACTGATTCCAACCTTTTTTGTTGGAATGTTGTTGATGATGGAAATATTTGTTTCAATCTGCATATTAAAAATGTTGAACATGTTTTTACTGATCCTGAGGGCTCATTTTGTTTTGAATTCTTCATGTATGTGGAACCACATTTGTGGATTTAGGTGGAAGCTAGCTACTAGCCTGGCATATTAAGTAATGGTTACCCTGCTTTTTTCTTGATGTTGTATCCCCTCTGTCCTGTTACAATACCTTTTTTGACTTGTTATGGTACATAACTTGGTTGTAATTTGACAAAAAGCTTCTCCAGATTAAATGTTATTTTGAATGATTCTTGACTTTCCATTTATGTGATTGATTGCAGTTTATGTGACATCTTGGATAGGGGAGGTTAAGTCATTAGACTTGCTTCTGTGTATGAAAAGCAGCATAGATACTTACGTTCAACATGGATAATGGAAACAAATGTATCACATGGGCAGGCAACTTATACCAGAAATTTGAAACTATGTGTGTAGAAGCGGATGGTATCATCTGTCTGGTATGGTGGATTAATTTTGATTATTTGCTTGCTTAAAATGTAGCTTTTTTTTTTTTTTTTGACAATTAGTTTGCCATTTCTTTATGACTAGAAATCTAGAAGGAAGAATCTTTCTCATGAATGAATATATGTTAATCTGCAGGTATTTTTTTTCTTAAATTTTCATTTAAATTTTCTTTTATTCGATTCAATCCTATTAGTTACATGTTTGCATGTTGAATTAGGACCATTTAAAAATGTAATGCACTGCACAGCTGTTTATCATCTCTAATCTGGATGACATCCTCTGGTGCTGCTAATTTCTCTCAAATAAATTGATGCCATTCTTGGACAGGAAGCGTCAGCATGTCTACAAGACACAGTGCAGGGAGTTCAAAAATTCTTTTCAGCAGTCATGGAAGATGTGCTTCCTTCATTGTCACAGGGTAAAGTGAAACATTCTGAACCTGTGGTAGGCGGAGAGGATGTTGATGTCAAAAACCATGACAGTTTAGATATACATGTTGGGGAAGATCACTCTGGGAAGGAGCTCCTCCATTCATCTTTGGTTGATTCTGATTCAGTGGAGGTCACTCATTCTGGTTCCTTTTCTGAGCAAATTTCTGATAGTGGAGCATGCAGAGAGTTGAAGGTTATTGTCAATGGAAATGATGGTCATATCAAGAAGGAAGAAATTCAGCAGAAGACAGGATGCAACTCTTCCATGGAAACAGGAGAGAGTAGTTGCTCAACTTCTAGTTCAAGCTCCATACCATCTTCTGTTTCTGAAACTTTGATTCTTTCCTGTAAGAGTCAACTTTCAGATGCTGGTTTTACTCTTGTCAACTCCTTGGCAGAACCAACTAGTAAGTATTCTGGAATTAATTTTTCATTTGTGTTTGTTAGTGTGTGAGGGAGAGAGTATTCTTGATTACAAATTTACTCGGAAACAAATTTTATTGCAGAAGAAGCCAGTGATAATGTTATTGACATGTCACAACTGAAAGATGTTCAATCCCTTGGTAAGGCGAATCTTGAAGAAAGTTGTGTTATTGTAGATGGTAGCTTGCTTCACTCTCTCTTCTCTGAAGTAGGAAGACACAGCTTTTACAAGGTATATCTCGTGTTTGCCTTGTTTTTAGGCCAACAATAATCCTTGAAGCATGGTGTAGATTATGTGTATGAAAAGCAAACCTGACAAATTTTCTGTCTTGTTCTTGTGGATTGAACTCTCCAAGAGTGCCACTCGTGCAAAAATGAGGATAAGGAAGCGGCCCTTTGCAAAATGTCGTGAGGATGGGAATCTTGATGTAGGATCCAATGAACAGCAAGGAAATAGTTTCCAACAATCTTTTCTTACAATTGAGTCTGAATCACCAGAGCAGGAGTTCTCTGATTCTGACTGGGAGATAATTTGAGAACTTGCTAAAATTGTCTGCAGATTACTCAAGAGTTAGATTGCACTGGCTTTACCACCCATCAGGGTATTAGTATCTTATGAAACCTTGTTCGGAAATCCAGTGTTTTCTCTTTCTGGGACCGTGTTAAATCCAATCTTTTCTCTTTCTGGGACTGTGTTCCTCTTGTTGAATGCCGGGATTTTTGTTAAGTTTGTAATTGGTGGTAGTCTGTAGTCAGCTTCATAATTACCAGTTGTGTCTCCTGCATGTTTATGACTTTTCTACTATTTTGTTTTTAAATAAAGAGGCCTAAGCGGGTAAGTCAATTATACAGTGATATCCCTTGGTACTTTGCAGCCGTATTTATACAGGCAGAATGAACGTAAAAGAAAAAAAATATATATATATATATATATATATGAAAATAATACTCATTCACTTTATCTCTTAAAATTTAAAAGTAATATTATTTTAAAATTATATTATTTTAATAAATATTTATTAAAAAATATTAAAATATTATATTTTTAAAATATGAATTATAGTGTTTTTTATTTTTTTTCTTAATTTTTTTAAATGTAAAATAGATAAACACTAATCCATATATATACATATATATATATGTGAAATTAGTGTAGTGGAAGCCCTCTTTCAAATTTTGTTTAGAAAACATGTCTAAAAATTTATATTTAAATTAATATTTTTAAAATTTAATTGTCTTATAAGATATTTTATTTATGAAAAAGAAAACAATAGAGAGATAATATAGACTTTTTACTCTAATAGTCTAATTCATTTTGTTAAAAAAAGAATTAGAACTTTAAGTCCAAACTAGCATAAGGAGTTTCCATTTTCATTCTAGGAGTATATTTGAAAAAAAAAAATTGAAAATAGACTGTTTTTTTAAGGAAATACAGTACTATTTTCTCTCCAGAAATGGTTGATTTATTTATATTTTTTATTCTTAACGTTGCTTCTTTTTTTTTTTTTTTGTTTTGCATTTAGATATTGCCTTACCAACTTTCCAACCTATCAAACTAATTTTTTCTCTAACAATATTAAAGGTACACCGCATGCCTTAGTTTGACAATGTTACTTTTGTAGTATTTTTCACATATATTTACTGAATATTTTGTAATTTATGCATTTAGTAAATTAATTATCTCTATTTTTTTTGAAAAAAAAATATAAAATTTATCTTATCTAAAATTAACAAAATTCTTATAATTTAATAAAATTTTCAAAATTTTTTCATACATTATATATTAAATTATTAATTAATTCAATTTTAAATAATGATATATTTCATTAAATAATTTTATAATAAATAATTTTTAAAAAATATAATTATTAAATATTAAAATATTTTTAGTGACAATACAACATATTACTTTTAATGGTTACAGTTATAAACAGCACCGAATAGCGTTATGAAACTAAACCCATATCAATTTAATACATTGAGAAAATTAATCTATTACATTCTAATTTTAAAATTTAAATCCTAAAATTTACCTATAACACTACACTTATTAATAATTTGACATTTTCGTTACATGGAATCGTTATTACCTGTTGGTTAATGGTATCCATAGAAAAGGCAAGAGTTGGAAATCGCGGGAATATGGCGGACAGTTACTTTGGGCCCGTTTTATGTAAACCCAGTTCTTCTCCTCCTCCTTTCTTCCTTTTCCGGATCCCCAAATTTCGGCTCCGTCTCCCGTCCTCCAAGTCTATGGCTGCCCATTGCCATTGCTCCTCTAACCCTAAACCGGTGCAGCCTTCCTTGCTCGTCTTCTCAGGTACTTAAATCAAGCTTAAGCTTTTATCCACACCCGTCATTGCTTTTACCCATTTATTAACAATTTAAATATATATATATTTTTGAAGATCTACCCTAACCTAATTCTTGTGTGATTCATTTGGAAAATTATGTTTCTTTACTGTTCTTCCAATTATTGGATTTTTTTTTACCGTATCTCAGTAGAAATTATGGTGGAATTTGGTGTATTAGCTTGCTTCCGTTCGTGAATTATGATGGGTGCTCTTAATTCAGGTGGTACTGCATTTAATGGTGTTGTGGAAGAGCTCAAGAAGTTAACCACTCGTGTGGCACATGTTCTTCCTGTTTCTGATGATGGAGGAAGTACTGCAGAGATTGTCCGGGTTCTTGGTAAATTTCAATTTTATGCATACATAAACTAGTTCCTTTATGATATAACGTTTCTCTCCTGTGAAGACATTATTTTCTTTGGATGAGTGGAGGGAGCTAACTGGGTAGTCTGGCATGTCTTTTAGGTGGTCCAGCTGTTGGGGACATTCGCTCCAGATGTTTGAGATTGTCTGACCAAAGTACTTCTGAGGCTCTGGCTGTCCGAAAATTGCTTGGTTATCGGTTGCCTATCAACCCTCAAGGAGCCAAGGCAGAATGGTATTCTGAATTCATGGTTTTGTAGCATAAATTTATGCTAACACATGCAGGCTTAAAAATAGTGACTGCAATGCACCTTCTTTAATTGTTCCTTTTTTCTTTTTTTTTTTCCTAATGTGAATACTTTCCTTCATTTTGTTTGCATATTATATTCTGTTTTCCAACTTTATTGGAGTGGTCAGTTGAGACAAATCATAATTTGAATCAGATATGAGATATCAGCTATTCACATATCACCAATTCATAAATTGTCCTTTCACTTTAAACTTGAAACAAAGTATTGAGAATAAAGCTATGCCATGTGTATGTATTTGTTCTGGAATTATTCTTTCTGCTTCTTTCTTCTAAGTTCTTTTCTTGCTTACTAATAAATTACCCAATTGAGAATTGACAGGTATGAAATTGTCGAAGGAGATCATTCTCTCTGGGAAGGTGTATCAAGACCGTATAGGGAAACTATTCTAGCTTTTCTGGTTTATTTTCAAAATGAGGTGACATACCTGGCCTCAAATACCAGTTTTTCAGTATCTCAATTCATGTTTTAGTAGTCTCCACAGCTTAATCCATGTGTATGCTTCATTTCTCTAGCCTTGACTCTTCCAAGGTTTACTGATGTCTATATTTTCAATCAATAAATTGTCATAGATCACCCTTCGTCAAAAGCCTTATTGTCCAAATTTGCCTCTCTTTAGGCAGAATGATGTGCAGGATGAAAACTAACATATCTGTTATGAACAGATTCTCCGGAGACCTAATGAAACATTTTGCTTCAGTAATGGCAGGTACTTTGTTGACCCTACATTTACACTTATTGAGTTTTCCATTCAATTACAAAATGGTATTTCTTCTTTTGGAAATTAGTTCACTATATTCTTGAATTCCAATAGTGGAGTAACCTTTCAGTTGTTGCTCTAACTTGTTGATTAATTCACCATGAAGCATTACATGCATAAGCATTTTTAATTTAAACATAGGCCAATGGTCCTGAGAATGAAATTATATGTGCAAAGATTGAGTCCACAACTACAGATCCGGGTAGGCCATGCTCCATAACATGCAAAATTGGCCATATCATCCATGTCTTCCTTTTAGCCTCTGATCCATCGTGCAATATTGCAGTGGGCTGTTTATTTTATTGATTAGATTCATATTTGCTTTTGTCACTGTAAAAATCAAACAATTTCATTTACGTGATAATATATTGATTTCTTTAGGGTCACACCAATATAAGATCATCTTATGACTATGCATTTCGGTAAATGCCTCGCCAGTCATTATTATGTCTTAACTGATCCCCAACATTTTTTGCAGCATTGGAAATTTCTTCTTTGCAGGATCAAGGATATTTTTTCAGTCATTAGATGCTGCAATTTTTTTGTTTTCTCGTGTCTCAGATATCCCCTCTGAAAGTCTGGTCCTCCCAGTAATTTCAACCAATGACAGGCTCACATTAGGATGTGAATTATGGGTACTGTAACTACCGTTACCAATTTACTGTTTGGAAGATTTGCATTCAGTATCTGGCTAACATTTTCAAGTTATTTATTGGTTTTCAAATTAATGAGGGTAAATTGATTTTTATTTTTAAAGTTGTAGTTGGTAGTTCCTAAAAATAGATCAGATCTGGTTTCTTAGTCACCTTTTTCATATGGTTCTCGTGGTCCATGTCATAGTTCCACAATAAAGCCACATGATTTGATCGGAATGACACATTAAAAGACATTTAAATTACATTTAAATTTATATATGGTTTAGTTTTTTGCTGGAATATTATCTTTACCAATTAATAAGTATGCTGATGTGAAGTTCCCCTTGTACTCCTTTTTAAATAAATTTCATTTGGTTGATGAAAGAAAATACGCTGATGCTACTACCACAAGTAATGGTAGTTACTATTTATATTTTTCTCCATCTCCTAATTTTCTGTTGAAATTCATGAATAGGATGGGACTATTATACGAGGTCAGAATGAAATTTCTCATCCAACCAACAGTGCCATGCAACCTGTAAATAAGGTAAGCCTATCGTTTTTATGATATGGAGTATCTTTCCTTGTTTGCTTCCTCCTTGTTACCCTGCAATTAGTTGTTGAGAATATAATGACAACAGTGATAATAACAACAGTGACCATGAAGCTGCTTGATTGCTCTCTTAAGAGCAACATCATGGTGGTAAGGATTCCAATTCTGGTGGTTAGGATAACCATGATGTTAATGGTGGTGCTATCATCATTATCTGTGGCTATGGTTTTATTCATTTGTAATAATGTCAGCAGAGTTCCAATTTGATTTTCAAACAGAACAGGTTAATCAAAGCAATATCTTGATTTCTTTGTAACATCTATCTTTAAATGTTATGAAATCAGGGACATTAGAGCTTAAGTGAGAAACTGTCATTGGGAGAGAATGCTGTCTGATCATGTGTGTACTTTGGACTTTATAGGATGGGGTTTGCTGGACAGATTGGGGAAGTTATGGTGATTCCGTTGAGCCAGTGGAAGACATTAAATTTAAAATCTTGTCCATTTTCTTCTGTCTAATAGGCAGTTGGAAGTTTTAACTCTCAGGATGTAGTTTTCTTTTCTGTTTCCTTCATGTTGATTTCTTGTAGACCGACCTTGTTTACATTTGCTCTTACTTCATGACATTTCACAGAATTTATTTAGTTAATGAAAAATAAATCTAGTATCACTTTCCAAACCAATTTGGACTTGGCTTTTCAGTGTTTAAGTCCAAATCTGTCAAACTAACTTTCAAGTTGATTCATTCTCCAATATTCTTTGTTGTGTCATGGAAAACTTATTAACAGATAAGATATTACTTTGGCACATTAATTGTTGTTATGCCTTAGCTTATGTAGGATATAATAGACCATTTCATAATTTTGGAAATTTCACCAACTAATTGACATGATGTTCATGGCCTTAATTGAAAGAAACATTTAATATAAAGCAAATGGCTGAAAACTTTTTTATGAGTCAAGTTGCACTGCTGAAGTATATACTTCTGATGTTTAATGTTTTTCTCTTATTTTCAAATTTCAAGTGCTAAATTCTTATGGTTGTTTATGGATAGGCAAGATCCTCAGTTCCCATCCTTCCTTCAAGAATAAAGAGGGTTTTCTACATGTCAAGTGAGGGAAGAAATTTGCTGCATGAAGTAAGTAATCTTTCTTCTGCTTTTGTTTTTCCTTCTTTTTTTTTTTTTGGGGTACAAATCTTTCTTATGCTTTGTACTTGTTGCATAAGTGGCAGAAAAGATGATTTTTCTTGTGACATTTTCCTTTATTTTTTTCCTAGGTATCTATCAAAAACAATGTTTGACTGTTAAAAGTTGAAGTTTCTTACTCAGAGATATAGTTATTGTGGAGCACATACCAATGATTCATTCTTTTATGCATGCCTCATTTTCATGTGGAATTGATTGCACTTTTTGTTTGCTTAGTTTGTGTATGGAATTATATATGAGAACTTTGACTTGTTGCTATTTAAAATTGTTTATTATCTGTGTCTTTATGCTGGTCTTGAAACCTTGCTTTAAACTTCTGAACTGCTGTTAGATTTACATGGTATTTAACATTTACAATTTACTGGTTGTCATATTACAGCTTTACAGCTTCTTCCTCCCCCCCAAATACCTTTAATCGATGCCTCTCACATGTTTCTAATATAAATTATGTGCTTAGGCTATGAACTGAGGTACTGCACTACTGATTGTTAATAGATGTGATCATGAAAATTTAGAGCTCAGAAACTCTAATTGTGCAGGTCTTCCCAGCAGTGAATTCAGCAGTCTTGGACCAGTTAAGTAATGTAGACTGCATTGTATATGCTATGGGATCCCTCTTTACTTCCGTCTGCCCATCACTGGTAACATTCTCTCAATCACTTTCATAAGCCAATGTCTTCATCCATATTCCATATGTTGTTTGTTTCTCCCTTAGAACATATTAGTTCACTGAATTTTGTTAACTTGCACTTCATTGTTTCTGACTTGTTTTTTTAGGTCTTACTTGGCATTGGTGAAATTGTTTCTTCTAGGTCCTGTCCTAAGGTACTTAATTTAATAATCTACCAAATTAATGCAATTTGATTTTGATTTAAGATGTTAAAGCTTTTTTGTTTTTATGTACTTATCTGGGATTGTAGTTCAATGCTTCTGTTATTTGTGTGATTGACAATTCATTGTATTGATTTTGTTCATTCCAAATTAAGGTACTTTTATTGAATGGTACACATGATCGAGAGACAGGTGGCTTCTCAGCATCATGTTTTGTGACTGCCATTGCAGATGCTCTGAATCGAACCTATGGAGATCCTTATAATTGTTTAAAGAATCCTGTGAGTGAGTAGATTATGTTTCAGTTTTTTTCTCATAGTCATGACAAGTTTTGGCAATAGTGTGCTTTTGACTGGTGTTGTTGCTAAGAAGATCTAGACAGTAAATTCTTTTAAGCATTACTTAGGTTTTTGAAATGTGTCTTCTTGTTATTATGGTAATATTCATCATTGTGTGTAAACTATAAACTAGTTCCTCGATTATGTAAAGGTAATAGGAGTCAACTGTAGACTGAGTATGTCATTGGTCTCTCTGCACAGCCAAGTCAGTACATCAATACAATTTTAATACCTGATGGTGGTGAAATTCCTGTAGATGTCCAATGCTTGTCAGCCCAAGGAATATCTGATGTGGTAAGTTTGTCATTGCAAGTATTATTTAACAAATATCTTATTGTAGCTAAAGAACACATTTGGGGTACCCCATAAATAACTCTTAAAATGTTAAGATTCTTATTTTTATGTGAGATAATTGAGGTTCTGTTCAAGTCTTTGTAATGAAGACAAATTCCAGAACTAGGAAACAATCTACCGTGAATACTTTGTTTCATCAATTTCTTTAATATTGCAAACTGCATAAACCTGGGTCTCTGCAGGTCGTTGTCAACTCCATACATGATCCAAAAGTGGGCATAATTTTTGATCCAGGGTCATTGATAAATGCTCTGGGCAGTGTGGTAAGCAGATACTTGAGGACAAAGAATTGAGTAGATTCTGCTGTGTTCAGGAGCAAGCATGATCATCTTCACATGTTTATCAAATGCTTCTGGACTTTAGGCTCGTTTGATTCAGGTAGATGGAAACTTCAACTTTCATTGGTCCCCCACGAAAACTCATGCGGTTTGTTTTTACTTGTTGAATCTACTGACAGAAATTCATATTTCTATAGGGGAGATGTCCTACGCTTGTGGCGTTAATGTATATGAGATGGCAGATTCAAGAATAATCATGGCAGATGGTGTAACATAATTGAGAATTTAAATTCAAATGGATAAGGATACCTTGTGGCCGAGGAAAACTGGGTGATGCTGCTTGCGCGCAACATTTGGTTTCACAGGAAGAGGACGAAATTCTACAAAATTATTGTAGTTTGAAAAAAGTAACATATTTGTTTGGATCCCAACATTTAGAGAGTTCTCTTTCTCCTTCTTGGAAGTTCCCTCATGCTTGACTCTTGTTTTGTACTTATAGTTGTATGCAAACTCCATTTCTTGAATGGGGAAAACACAGTGAAAGGCAAACACGCCACGACTGTCTATCTCGACCGGGAACGACCATACCCATCATTTTCTTACTCAATTTCGTCAAGTAATGGATGTTATGGGACATCATGTTCAGCCAACAGTGAAGCTTGAACCGTTGTGGTACAGATGAATGTAGATGACAAAACTTTTATTTTGAATATCTTGGACATACCTTCTATTAAATATCTTAAATTCAAACCATAAAATAAAAAGAGAAGAAACGTTTCAAAAACAAATTGTAAATAATTTCCAATTCGAATTGATGGTAAAAGATTCGAATCTATAGATAGGGTTGGAGATTTGATTCAGACTCTTTGAATTGAATTAAATTTTTGGTTATTGAAAAAAGTTTCTAGATATGACTTTCATACTAAATCCAAACCAAATATTTGATTTGATTATAATTTTGAATAACCAAAATTATTCAAATAATTCAGTTAATTAATCAAAATAATTAAAGTTTGTATGTACCAATATTAATATATCATTATTTTTCACTTTGGGTTATTAAAAGCCCCTTTTCATTTTAATTATTTTAATCTTTTTTAAAAGATTCTCGACTATAAATTTGAAAAAAAAAAAAAAGAACTCTATCAAAAAAATATAATTATTTAATAAATCAAAACCCTTTTTTGCACCCAACACATTATTATTATTATTATTATGGTTAATACTCTTCATAATTTCCATTTTTTGGTCAATAACTTTTATGATTTGGAACCCACAAAAAACCCTAATTATTAATAAAGTTAGGATATAAATAGAAAGTTTAACTATTAATTTTTTTATTTTTTATAGGTTTTAAATTATAGAAGTTTTGACCACGAATAAAAATTATTAAGGATGTTGATTGTAGGAAAAAATAATGTGTATAGTGCAGATAGAGAATTTAACCTATTTAATATAAAATATTTCAAATAATTCAATGACTTGTATTGATAATTTCATATATGGGTCAATAATTATATCTGAACTGAAACTAGTTTTGTTCATTTTAATTTTATTTAAATTTATCTAAACATCTAAATTATTCCAATCAAAATTTAAAAATTCATCTCAAAATTTTGGATATTTCTGTAATATTCAAAATGTGCCCACAACAATCGATGTTCCAAAACAATGTCCTAGGCACAGAATCCGGGGGTACTTAGCAAATTTCAAACCAAAACTTCACATTATAAATCTAGATTTGGCAATCCAGCGTCCGTAAATTCCAATCCAAAGTATGAATCTCCTGGCCGCCCACCAGCTAGCTAGTAGCTAATCATGTGAAAGAAAATTGCAAGAAGCTTCTGCTTCTATCATAATATCAAGTCAAAAAGAGGACAAACAGCTGCTATCCAATTCAAAACTTCGTTTGGGAACGATTGCCGATTTTTTAATTTCTGGATTTTATATTTTTTATTATTTTAAAAATATATAAAATATTAATTAGATTTAATATTAAATATATTAAGATATTAGTGTATTTCAATATTAGCTTTCAAAAAGAAATTAGAGTTTTAAAATTTTGAATTGAGTTTTAATTAAAAAAATGATATAATTTATTATTAGAACTTCAATTTATTTTGGGAGTCAAAACTAATATGCATTTTTACCATATATTAAAAATATTTTATATATTTTTAAAATGTTAAAGAATAAAAAAAATCTAAAATTACAGATATAAACTAGTATTGTCAAACTAAACCCTAATTAAAAGGTGTATTTTATTTGATTGATTTTGTTAACTTGTAACATTCTTTTAAAGTGTTTGGAAAGATATTTCTATAGGCTAATTTTGGACTCTTGAGTGATAAATATTAATTGAGTATCTTGTTTTATAGTCTAAACTGTTTTGAAATGTAGGATATGAACTATTTAATGGGGGAGGGCCCCTAATATTAAGGGATTCTCTCTCATTAGACAATTAGTATTTTACGGTCTAAAACAATCCAAATTATAAACTATTTTTTTCAATATTAATTTTATTAATTAATAGTTAAAAGTATTAACTGTTTCTATTAGTTAAAGCCTGTGCAAACTCAGAACGCATCAAGCTAACGACGAAAAATAATTTCATAATTGAGAGATGTGAGAGAGAAAGAGGGAGACGGAGAGAAAGAGGCAGTGATCATCAGACATAGGGAAGAAGGACAACACAGGGTAGAGGGCATGCAAGATCTCGAGGAAGAAGCCAACACAAGGGGATTGAATCAATAGAACAAAGGAAAATGCAACTTGATTAGAATTAGTGTCTGAAAAGAAAGAATTGCAGGTCATACGACTAGGGCTTGTATAAACAAGCTACAGCTTACTTCTTTACAAACTTCCCAGATGAATGGAGTGATGCAAACATGTGGAAAACCTTCTTGAAATTTGGAAGAGTTTATGCCATATACAGTCCAAATATGAAAAGTAGAAATGGAGGCAGATTTGGATTTGTGAGATTCTTGAATGTGAAGGACAAAAAAGAGCTTGAAAGGCAATTGAATCATATCTGGGTAGGGGATCGGAAGCTGTGGGTGAATACTCCAAAGTATGATGACGAGGACAAGGACGACAAGGGGCAAAGAACCAGTCAAGCTACGAGGCCAATATTGCAGAATAGAAGTTATGTTGAAGTTGTGAAGGTCTTCAAGATGAAAGACACAAAGAGGAAGGCATGGGGAACAAACTACTGTTAGCAAGAAAATATGGTAGGAGAAAGGAAAGGGGAAAAATTGGGCTGGTTTTGAATATAACGTCAATCCAAAGGATTGTGCATGGCTTGACAAATGTTACATGGGGATGGTTCATTTGATTGAAATTATCTATAATTTGCAGGAAAAATTCTATATGGAGGGTTATTTCTCATGCCGAATTCGTGCTATGGGGGGAAAGATGGTGTTGTTAGACTGCAAAGACAAAGAGGAATTAAAGGACCTGGTACAGATGGCTTTAAAGTGGTTAGGACAATGGTTCAAATGGGTACGACCTTGGACACCAGATATGGTCGCTTGTGAAAGGTTTGTGTGGATTAGGTGTCAAGGAGCATCACTAAATGTCTAGGGATCAGACTTCTTTGCAACCATGGATTGTTCATGGGGAAAATTTATTTGCTTAGATGATAGCACAAGCAAAAGAAAGAGGTTCAACATTGCTAGATTCTTAAGCTTGACTTCGTCTATGAACACCATTTTTGTTACGCACCAAGTTAAAATCAATGGATCCTTGTACATTATTAAGTTCATAGAGGAGGAGTTTACTAATAACTTCTTCTCTTTGAAACAAGACTTCATGCCCACATTTTAGAGTGAATCTAAGGAACATGAATCATGCTCGATTGTTAGTGAGAAAGAGGACCTTAACATTGAAGATGTAGTAGAAGCAAAATAGGATAAGAAAAGACATGTCGAGGCAAAGGTAGAAGATGATGATGTGGCAAGCAGCAAGTGTGAGAAAAATGGAAAGCTTTGAATGATGGGGAAAAGTCTGTAGAAACAGTGCTTGACAATCTGATTCAAATTTAAAATTTGATTGATGGAGAGAACAGTGTTGGAGACGAATGGGAGGTGCGACAACTTGGAAAAATTGAAATGATAGCGGGCTTAGGCGAGGACGATGAGAAACAAATGGGCTCAAAGGAGGAAAGAAATATGAAGCAACATAGGGAACCCAGTACACAAGATTGCAACCCAAGTTCGGTTGAATCATCTAATATAGGTTTGGCCCAAAAAACAAGAGTAAGGACAATCCTAAACCCGGATAGTGTAATAAAGAATTCTAGAAGTAGTGACCCAAGTGAAGAAATCAACGAAAGTGATGATGAAGACCCTCTCTGGGAAGATCATGAAAATGAAGCAAGAAGAGTGCAAAACCGGCTGAATAGGTGAGCAAAGGGATTTTAAAGAAGAGGAAGAAAAAAAGTTAGTCTGTGTTGCACGGTGTACTGAAAAACTAGAGCGACTGAAGAGGGGTTGCAAAAAACAAAAAGAAGAACAAAGAATAGTAGACAAAAAATGGAGGGGGTGACAGAGCTGAAATTTCTAGTAAGCCCCAACGGTGAAATTGCGGGTGACAATTGGTGACAGTAGAATCCAAAAGTATAACAAAGTATTGAGGAAGTAAATGCAAAATCAGTTAGCTAAGGAAATCTCAGAAATAACAAAACAGTTGAGAGCTACGGTAGAGAACGAAGAGGAGATTTTGCAACAAATTGATGAAATGGAGTGCAGAGACAGACATGCAAAGGCAAAGATGGGAATCAAGAAGCAGGAGATGCAAATAAGGTAAGCAAAACTATTGATGATACTATTATCTTTTAACATTAGAGGGCTTAGAGGGATTGGTAAAAAAAGACAAATTAGAGATCTTGTTATGTAAGAGAAAGTAGAATTCCTAATGATTCAAGAGACTAAAATGAAGGTAGTTGATGGGTGTATTTGTAGAAGGTTATGGGGATTTGATGATTTTGACTGGGTTTCTAAACCTTCAGATGGCTTGTTTGGTGGCCTACTTCGTATGTGGAATACAAAAGTGTTTAAAAAACAAAGGAAGTTTTGGTGGGGAATAATTATATTGGAGTGTTTGGGGTATGGGGGGAGGATCAAGGGCATGTGTTTATACTAAATATTCATTTCCCATGTTAAATGATGGGTAAAAGAGCTCTATGGGAGGAGCTACTGAATTTGATCAATAGTAGGAAGGGTAAATGGTGCCTGGGGGAGATTTCAATGCTGTAAAAAGAGCTGGGGAGTGGGCTAGAGGCAAGGAAGTATCTAAGGAAATGAGAGAGTTTGATTGCTTTATTCATGATGCCAGTTTGGTTGATTTATCTTTGGTGGGAAGAAAATATACTTAGTAGAACTCTAATAGCCAATACATGAGTATAATTGATAGATACTTGTTATTGGAAGTTTGGCTTATAAAGTAGAGTGATGTAAAGCAATGGGGATTGAAAAGAACAGTGTCAGACAATTGTCCTTTTCTACTAAAGGATGAGAAAATTGATTGGGGGCCAAAACCTTTCAAATTCTTTGACGTTTGGTTGGAACAACCAGGGTGTAGGGAAATGATAAAAAATGTGTGGAATTCCAAAAGGTTAAAGGATGGAAGGGCTTTGAGCTTAAGGAAAAACTGAAAAGAACTAAGCAAGCCTTGAAGGAGTGAAGCAGTGGATCCATGACAGATGTGGACAATAAAATAAATGAAGCTGAAAAAGAGATAGCTATACTAGATGAGAAAGGAGAGAATGCATAGCTCTTAGTAGAGGATATTGAAAAGAGGAGAAGTTGTTTTCTCGACCTTTGGAAGCACTTAAAAAGGAAGGAAAGCATGTGGTCAAAAAAGTCAAGGAAGATGTGGCTACAGGAAGGGGATGCAAACACAAAATTTTATCGTAGATGTGTGAAGGGAAGATGGAGAAGAAATGAAATGAATAGCATCCAGAATAATGGAAAGCAGCATATGGGTGTGTGACCAAGATATGAGAAGAGGTGGCAAAATATTTTGAGGAGATGTTTTCAGAAGACAAGTGGCATAGGCCAAAGTTGGATGGCATACATTTCAAACAGCTATCCAAGGTAGATAATGAGTTCCTCACGGCAACTTTCACTGAAGAGGAAATTAGAAATGCAGTTTGGGATTATTATTTGACAAAATTGCCTGGGCTGGATGGGTTCAACTTCAAATTTATAAAGATCATGTGAGAGGATATAAAACACAATGTGGTTGGGTCCATTCAAGAATTCCATGAGTAGGGTAGGCTTGTAAGAGGATCAAATACTTCAATCATTGTTCTAATCCCAAAGGTAGAGAATCCTCAAAGAATAGAAGAATACAAACCCATTTCACTTATTAGGATCATGTATAAGATTATTGCAAAGTTATTAACAAACCGCCTCCAAAAAGTGTTAGATAAAATTATCAGGGAGCAACAGATGGCTTTCATCAAAGGTAGATAGATGGTGGATGGTGTTGTAATCGCAAATGAGGTGATTAAAGAGGCAAAGAGGAAAAAGATGAAAAGCTTCTTGTTCAAAGTTGATTTTGAAAAAGCATATGATAGGTATGCTGGGAATGCTTAGATTATATGCTATGGAGGATGGGTTTTAATGTTACACGGAGAAAATGGATACAAGAAGGCCTTCAATCAAGCATGATTTCAATTCTTATTAATGGAAGCCCAACAAGACAATTCCATGTTAGCAAAGGAATAAGACAAGGTGACCCATTATCCCCTTTATTATTCCTGATTACGATGGAAGGGCTAAATGGATTAGTGTCTTTAATAGTAGAAAAGGGTCTATACAAGGGCATTAAGGTTGGTAATGGTGAAGTGATGGTGTCCCACTTACAATTCGTGGATGATACGATCTTTTTTGGTGAGGCATCAAAAGACAACATATGGATAGTTAAATGCATCATGAGAACTTTCGAATTGGTCTCGAGACTGAAAATTAATTATGGGAAGAGTCAGTTAATGGGTGTCGAAGTGGAGGACGATTGGAAAGAGAGAATGGCTTACAAGTTATGCTGCAAAGAAGAAGAGTTCCCATTCAAATATCTGGGAATCCCTATTGGTGGGAATCATAGAAAGCTAGCAATGTGGCAACCATTGGTGGATTCTTTTAAAAGGAAACTAGCTAGCTGGAAAGGTTAGCATCTATCTCTTGGAGGTTGGATCACGCTCATTAACTCTATGTTGTCCAGCTTACTGGTGTTCCTGATGTCAGTCTACCTCATCCCTAAAGGTATACTAAATTCTATTGATAAAATTCGTAAAAGTTTTTATGGGGAGGGGAGGGAGTAGTGAAAAAAATTAATTAGGTTAGTTGGAAAAGGGTTTGTAAGCAAAAAGGGTTTAGAGGGCTAGGAGTGAGGGATTTGAGAAATTTTAACTTGGCATTGATGGGAAAGTGGTGGGGGCGATTAGCGTCAAATGAGGAGGGATTGTGGAAGAAAATTATTGTTGGGAAATATGGCAAGGAAGGGGCACATTAGCTTGATTGGGTGAGAGATTATAGAAGTGTAGGCTCATTATAGTGGAGAGATGTTTGCGCCCTTAATATTAGGGACGGGGAAAATGCTAGGTGGTTGTTGGAGGGATTTAGGATAAAGGTAGGAGAGGGGAAAGGAGTGAGTTTCTGGTGGGATGAGTGCTGTGGGGAAGGATGCCTTGTTAATAAGTTACCTAGATTGTATCTCTTGTCAACAGGTAAAAAGAAAGATTGCTACCAACTGGGCACTGAGTATAATGGAACATGGAAATGGAACCTCACATGGAGAAAAACTTTGTTTCAATGGGAAGAAGACGCTGCTATGGAAATCTATAGGACGATAGAGGATGTGAAGATCTCTCCAGGACGTCTAGACAAATGGGAATGGATACACAGCAAAGATGGCCAGTACTCAACTACAACGGCTTATTCAGTATTAACAAAAGAAAGGAGGGGACTAGATGGAGCAAAAATCTTCAAGAGAGTTTGGAATCCTATCTTCCCGAGCAAAATTGCTACGTTCAACTGGAAAGTAGTGTTGGATAGAATCCCAATGAAGCTAAACTTGTTCAAGAGAGGAATTATTAAAGATATGAGAGAAGGGAAGTGCACTTTGTGTGAAGTACAGGACGAGGACACTAACCATTTGTTTTTGAATTGCAAAATAGCTAGATGGCTATGGTCGGCATGTGCTAGATGGTGGGGGATTACCATAACAATAGACAATGACTGTTGGAAAACGTTTGAGAATTTTGGGGCATGGTCCAAAGACCCACGCACCATTGAAGGTTGGGACTGCATCTAGAACACAATGATATGGTCTGTGTGGCTTGCAAGAAACCAAAAGATTCTCCACAACTCGGAGGTGAGTAAGGGCAAGCTATTTGAACTTATTCAAATGAGATCCTTTGTATGGATTAAGGCAAAGAAAGCCAAGTGTTATTTCAATCTTTCAGATTAGTTGCTTGATCTTGTGTCATGCCTTACAATTAACTGTGGTGGGAAAAACTACATTGAAGGATAGGTCTGAAAGCATTTTTTT